GAAAGAGAAACAACCATCGAGTCACAGGAAGGTGAAGAATTGTTTCCACCAGTTCTAAATTCATGAAAAGGAAATTCATGGTCAGACCCCCGAGTCCAACTTTATAATAGTAAAAAGCAGTCTGGCTCTTTATCTAACCTACTGCTACTGGGTTTTACCCTTAATCCCTGTGCCCGTGGTCCCACTCCCTACCGCAGTCTGGCATGCTCTGTTTTCGACTTTGAGTCTTGGCTGTGGGGTGGTCTGGTTGCAGGATTCCTGCCCTTGGGAAGCAAATTCAAGAAACACTTGGCATGTTTATCACGGAGTAAATGCCTTCTAGAAGAATGCTGGATTTGGCGTTTGAGTAACTTGCCCTCAAATGAAAAGGCTCAGGTATATTGCTTTCATCAACTTCCAAAGACAGTGCAACCTCAAGGCCAGCAGGGGGAATCAGTGTAGAAGTCTGGCTTTCAAAGGCCAGTTGATAACATTCTCGGGCAATTAGGTTAGCATTCCGCGTCACTTTTAGAAGGACAGTTTGGCTGGCTTCTAACATTCCATCCATTTAAAATACCTCAATTGGGTGAGTTCTTAGTGAAACAGTAGGCTTCCTCTGGTAGGAAAGAAAAAAAATCTCATTACACATCTACCCGTATTTGATAAGAACAAGCTTTCCTTTTATCAGCCTTGTCTGTCTAGCTATCTTCACAGAAAGCATATAAACAATAAAGAGTTAAGTAGATGGGCTTCCCTGGTGGCACAGTGGTTGAGAGTCCGCCTGCCGATGCAGGGGACGCGGGTTCGTGCCCCGGTCCGGGAAGATCCCACATGCCGTGGAGCGGCTGGGCCCGTGAGCCATGGCCGCTGAGCCTGCACATCCGGAGCCTGCGCTCCGCAACGGGAGAGGCCACAGCAGTGAGAGGCCCGCGTACCGCAAAAAAAAAAAAAAAAAGTTAAGTAGAGTGGGGAATGTAAACTCGTGGTTTTTAGAAGGGATTTAAAAGGCTTACAATAAATGTGAAGACGTATAGGGAAATGACAGGCTATTTTGTGAGCTTAAAACACATCACACAGAAACTAAACTCTCTTAGTTGATATACCTATAGGATCCCATATTTACTTCCGATAATAAATTTCCATATCATTCACATTGAACGTCACATACTACTACTTTCCCACGCCAAAAAGCACAGTGACCCGTGTGAATTCTAATGGTTGAATCATTTTTGCTCCTCCAGTATTAAAACCATGCCCTCTATTCTTTCATTCCATACTTCTGGAGCGCATACTATATGCAAGGATATTTCAGGAATTTTATAGAAATAAAAATAAGAGACTCCTGCTGTGAAGTTGGAAACGAGTAGAACCCTGCAGGTTCCCCCCGACCCCCCGGCCCTTCCCCAAGTATAAAACCAAGCAGTTAGTGATTAGGAAAAGAGAGTCACAGACTCAGTGTCTGATGTTCATTGCTGAGTTGTTTTACAGATACCATAACGGCCACCAGAGGAAAAAAAGTTAACTGCATGATGACCAGACAGATGCTAGCCAAGACATAAGCTGCTCCAACTTGAGTCTGTGTCTACCACAATTCCAAGGACTGGCCTCAAGAGAATGGGATTAACATTATTGCACATAATAATCTGTATCTTTGTTGGTACCAAAATAACTGTGGCTTGTTCTGCCCATACATGTAAGCAGGCAACTAAAATTGTCAGCAAAGAGATGCTACAGACCCATGCTGACATCGTCCAGTCTGAGAATACGTTGCCTATGTCAGCATGAAAAAGTTACAGAAGACAGACCTTCACCCCTAATCCCATAGAAATGGAATGATGTCTGAAAAGTGGGCATTTGTAAGCAGTTCTTTGCAGGAAACTGCCCTTAGCAGGAAGCCCCTTTTCTTGTCACTTTACCAAAGCTATACCGTGACTAATTTTAAACAAGGTACCCCCATGCTCTACTCATCTCCGGCCCAAGAACACCTTTCAAATCTTTTAATCGCACAATAATTTGTCAGTTCTTCTGGTAGATCAAAGAAGTAGGAACTAAGAATAAGTAATTAACAGATGACTAGATCTCTTCCCTAGCTTCCCCTTCAGAAAGAATCTCGTGAACAAACTGTGTGACCAAACTGTGTGACCATGATAACGTGTAGGGGAAGATAATAAGAAATCCACGAGCCTGCATGCAGTGGGGAATGGTGACCACTCTGACGCCCTATCTCAATGATTAACTGAGACTACTCCCCTCCCTGCCTTTAAAACTTTCATGGCTGAGCGGAATCTTTGGAGGTGGCTTTTGGGGGACGCTGAGTCCACCATCTCCCCAGATTGCTGGCATTCTGACGAAAGGTACCTTTCCTTTCTACCACTGGTGAGTATTGATTTTGTAAGCGGTGAGCAGAAGGACCCCCCCCCCGCATCAGATAACAAAGTGAATTTGTTTAATTGTGTAGTTCATGTTTAATTTTATACGGACGAGCTTTATAAGGGCAAAATTTCAATGCTGTGGCTACAAATTGCTATCCTGATATCTGCAGTTCCATTTCTGAACTGTGCATGGGGATGGGAGGAGCAAGGGGAGGTAAATCAGAACAAATTCATCCTTGCTACTGGGGAAACAACCGGATGGGTACTGCCTGCTGGTATACTATTACCTTTTCTTATAAAGGCCCAAGATTTCTGGACCTGGACAGGGCGCAGGCAATTCAAATACAGTGCTTTGCAG